TTTTTCCAATAATTACTCGAGAGAGGCTTGAGAGTCTGTCCACAGGCTTGGAACAGAGAGCCAATCAATAGGCTCTTTTGAGTCTTTTCCAATAATTACTCGAGAGTGGCTTGAGAGCCTGGCCACAGGGTCGGAACAGCAAACCAATCAATAGGCTCTTTTTCCCATAATTACTCGAGAGAGGCTTGAGAGTCTGGCCACAGGGTCGAAACACCAAACCAGTCAATAGGCTCTTTTCTCCAATAATTACTCGAGAGAAGCTTGAGAGTCTGTCCACAGGGTCGGAACAGCAAACCAGTCAATAGGCTCTTTTCTCCAATAATTACTCGAGAGAAGCTTGAGAGTCTGTCCACAGGGTCGGAACAGCAAACCAATCAATAGGCTCTTTTTCCCAATGCTCTCTTTCCCTCTCTCTCTCTCTCTCTCAGTGTTGCCTGTTGCTCTTTTTCTCTCTCTCACGCACTCTCTCTCTCACGACACACTCTCTCTCTCTCTCTACTGCACACTCTCTCTCTCTCACTCACTGCACACTCTCTCTCCCTATGCACACTCTCTCTCTCACTGCACACACTCTCTCTCTCACTGCACACTCTCTCTCTCTCTCTGCACACTCTCCCTCTCCATCTAGCATCCATTTTCCGTGCACCCAATAAGCAGATTTTCACCATCAGCGGGTGAGATGTTTCTGGCCATGTGGAAAGATAGATATAAAAGATAATCACAATAGTAAAAATAAATGACAATAATAATAATAATAATAATGAACACTCACCGTTGTCTCCTTTCCCACACATATCACCCTCTGCACCCTCTCTCAATATCCCTTACTTATTCTCTCACTCCCTCTTCATCTCTCACACTGCACAGTCCCTCTCTCTCACGCTGCACAGTCCCTCTCTCTCGTGCTGCTCAGTCCCTCTCTCTCACACTGCATAGTCTCTCTCTCATGCTCACACATTGCGCAGTGTCTCACTCTCTCTCTCTCTCTCTCTCTCTCTCTCTCTCTCCCACACACACGGACACTGCTGCCATAGCTTCCGTTGACCATGAGCAGCTTGGAACCACTGCGCTCCACGAAAAGGTACGTTCGCTGCATTCCCTGCCGTTGCTTCCCCTGGTGCACCCCGTTGCAGCGCATCCTGGTCACACTGGTTGCCCGCTCTAGTGCGCCCCCCCCTTCGCACTGGTCACCCCGTTGTCCAAATGTCCAGTTCCCCCTGGTCGCCTGCTACGTGGGCGGGGAACCCCTTGCATGCTGCTCCCAACGCGTTGACCTGCCTGGATCCCACTATGTTGTGGGCCAGGTACACCTTGCATGCTGTCCCCAATCTCTCCTCTGTTCCCCCCTCTATTCATTCCACATTTGCTTGTACTGCCGAGACCGTCGGTACCAGGCCCAGCACAGGCTCGTTACAGGTGGTACGTGAGCACCGTCCTCGGGTCAACAACTGGGCGTCGTGGTACCAAGGCCCTTAAGGCCCAGGCGTGCCGCCTCCGGGTCAGTCCTCAGTTATCCCGTTCCGGTTCAGGCAGCCTGTCGTTCCGGAAATCTTCACAGATTGTCCGCTATAACGCGCCATAGTGGTACCAAACCGGGCATAGATGGCCGCAGTGATGGTGCCGAGCTTGAGTTATTTACCTGTGATAGCACCGAACCAAGAATAACCTGTCGTCCAGGTTCCGGGCCTGAGACAGACCACCGCGGCAGTCTCCAGACTTGAAAATAAATCGTCCCGAAGCCGCAGAACCTGAAATAAGCCGCCGTGGCGGCGGCGTATCTGAAATAAGTCGCCACAGTGTCCCCAATAAATTGTCTTAATGGCACCGAACCTGACACATGCCACCGTGAGGGTGCCGAATCCGGATAATAGTCTGCCGCAACGGTGCCGGAGCTGAAAAAAAATCACCGCCGAGCCTGAAAATAAATTACCACTAGGATCCCNCGCCGAGCCTGAAAATAAATTACCACTAGGATCCCAAACCTGAAATACATCTTCATAGTGGCTCCAGACCTGAAGGTAAGCCTCCGTGACAGTTCCGATCCTGTAACAAATAGATGATGCTGAACCTGAAATAAATAGTTGTGATGATGTCGATCCTGGAAATAAATCACCCTGGTGCCCGAACCTGAAGTACGCCGATTCCGGCTCAAGCCGATCCTCAAACATGTCCGGTACCGAACCTGTCATCATGCCGTCGGCCCAATGTAACACGACCCCACGTTGTCCATATCCATGCGGGCATCGTCCGTTCCGCCGGGTTCAGTAAGGCTAGCAATCAGGTAAATAAGGGACACATCATAAGAGAGTTTCGATCAATGGGGGATAGTAAAAAAAGTTTGAGCTCAAGGAATTTGATCAAATCGGGGTTCTGAGCCGACGGCGGGTATCCCAAGCAAAAACCGGGCCAGGCATCGAATAATCATTAACTCCTGTTTGTTCCACCCTTTTTTAATCGTTCTCCCTTTTCCTTAACTCTATTGTCTGAAATAGTGAATTAGCCGTAGGTTCTCCAAAAATGCATTCTGAGGGATTTTAATCAAATGGTTGAAATTCCCTCTTTTCTTCTCTCCTTTACCATTCTTAATCCTTTTCTCTGGTTGTTATATTTCATTGCCGAAAACGTAAAATAACGAGGTATTTCCCGAAAATTTATATGCTGCGAAAGAATAGGGGAATTAAGGAATATTACGTTTTTCTCTTCCCTCCTACTGTTCCTAATCTTTTCTCCCATACTTAAATTAGGTACCAAAAATTGATAAAATTTGAGGCGCTACTCCAGCCCGATCATATGCTGCAAAAGCATTGTCGCGGGGTCAACACGCGCTATGCCTCCCCACAGTCGGCCAGCCCAGGTCTAGCCTCGGGACGTGTGGGAATGACGGTCCCTAGATGTGCCGGGAGCGGCTACCCACTTCGCCATCTTTGGGGGTTACTCGAAAGGTTCAGTTCGCCCAAAATCAGGGGTGCCCTGAGTTCCCCTAATTTTTGCTGCCTGGTCATACCAGAGTACCGTCAAAACACGGACTTGTCCCCGAGCCTAAGTCCCGAAATCGCAGATTTCAGGCGGAACACTGCTCGTGGCCGCCTGACAGTTAGCCCGGACCACTTCTCGACGCCCCCGTCGAGCCCTATCCACTTGCGTCAAATGAAGCGGACGAGTTTCAGGGTGATTACCCGTAAAGGTCGGCCACGTCGGCGTTTAATTGTCTTATGTTTCAGTTTGTTATTAGTTCCAGGACAAAGAAGATGCTTCTTCACTTTCCTTTTCCTTCGGGATTTTGGTCTTGGTAGGATCCTCTTTTTCTTCTGATGTTGGTCCGAGAAAGGTGCCGACTCATCAGCTCGTCTAATGCGAACTCTGCGTCTGGCTCTCCTGAGCATGAATAACCATTTCTTCCTCTTCCCTATCACCAATCCTTTGACCTTTCTTTTTTCTACCCTCTTCCTCTTTTTGGAACTCTCTCCCGCCTCATATCGTCTCGAGACGGCTCCATACTTCATTTTGGCCTTTTCTTCCTCTTCCCTATCGCCAGTCCTTTGACCCTTCTTTTTTCTACCCTCTTCCTCTTTTTGGAACCCTCTCCCGCCTCATATCGTCTCGAGACGGCTCCAT